CCCAGAGCTCAGTTGTGAACATAATGGGTTTGAGGTATCTAAGACAACTGAAGGGAGACGAGATATGAGCAACTAAATATGAGGCTCTGGAGGCCAGGGATGGATGTATAAATTTGGGAGTCATCAAGGAATAGTGTTTTTTAATTGAAGTATAGTTGATTTATAATATTATATTAGTTTCAGATGGAGAGCATAATGGTTCAGTATTTTTATAGTTTATACTCCATTAAAAGTTATTACAATATAAAAGCTATTAATTCTCTGTGTTATACAACATATTCTTGTTGATTATTTATTTTATACACAGTGGTGTATATCTCTTAATCCAGGGAACAGTCTGTAAAGTCATGGAAGTGTATGAAATCACCCAGGAAGAGAACTGAGAGAAGGGACCAGGTTTAGAAATCAGGTAGACCCAGGGGAATAGGGGGAGGAAAAAAAGCGTCCAGAAGAATGTAGTGTGTCCAGAGTGGGATGTGTCCAGAAGATTATGGTCAAATGTAATGGAAAGCTAGAGGAGTCAGCAAGATGAGGACTGACAGTCGTTGCCCTCTGGACTGATTTGGGAACGTGGTGCTGTTGATATTGTTAGCAAGAGCAGTTCCAGCAGACTGCCTGAAGCCAAACTTGAGTGGGTTGAGGGTGAACAGAAGGTGAAAAAAAATGGATAGGGAGAAAGCAAATGTAAAAGGCTCCTCAAGAGAGGGGGTGAGAAATAGTGTGATATTTGAAAAGAGATGCTAGGGGTCAAAGAGGACTCCTCCCCACTGCACCCTTCCCCACCCCCCTCTCTCCTGGCCACCACCCACATATGATTGTCTGTGCTTGTCCCAGTTCGTTCCATTCCGAGACTATGTCGACCGTTCGGGGAACCAGGTGCTGAGCATGGCCCGACTAGCCAAGGACGTGCTGGCTGAGATCCCAGAGCAGCTACTGTCCTACATGCGCACCAGGGACATCCAGCCTCGCCCTCCACCCCCTGCCAACCCCAGCCCAACACCAGCTCCAGAGTAGCCCTGCGGAGCCCCCCTATCCAATGCCTAGCAGTCTGCCTGCCTGCCCACTTGCTGCTTCTGCTGAAAGCCAGAGGCACCCGGAGCCCTGGACCTCACTGGGAGGCCAGCTTGGAGGATCAGTGCTGGCTGGTCGAGCTCTCTACCCTCTCACCCACAGAAGGGCCTGGCACTGTCACCACCTCCCTGCCTTCATGCCAATAATAAAGCTGATCTTTACTCCACCTCTGTCTCATGGGTCTTGGGGAGGGAGACTAGGGGACCCAGGGCCTGGGGCACAACCAAGAGAAGGAGGGAGCAAGGACAGATTCATATTGGGTTCATCCCCATCCTAACATATATTGATTTAATCACTTCTTCAAACATTCTTCACACACTTTAAGCAATAAATTAAACTTTATGTGTGTACATTTTTTTCTGAGGAAAGAGGCTCGTAGCTTTTATCAGATTCTGAAAGGGATTCCTGACCTCAAAGAGGGTCAGCTGTAAGATTACTCAGTGTAACTCTGCTCTAATCCATCTACTCTGACT